TCAACCATCCAGCTCTCATGGCCTAGATAGGGTTATTTGGGGCTTAAGTTTGAATATGTTAACCTTACTTAAAAGATGGCATCTCAGCTGCCAAGCTGAATGATTAAAACAGACAGGTCACCTAAAAATCTAGTAAGCTTTATTTTCACAGTAGTTAGTTAGCAATTCTAAAATTACATTCTGTGTATCCTAGTCATGAGCAAATGAATAAATATTCTGCGGATAATGGCAGCCAGGTTTCTTTCTGTTAAAGGAGTCACAAACATGGAAAAGGGAGAAACTAGAAAGCAGTGTTTGACTGGAGTTGAAGATATCAGTACAAATTTGCGGTTTTTAGTAGCTAGAAATAAGTATTTTTGTATATATCTGTCTGTTGAGAGAGACGACTACAAGCCATGACACACCAGTAGCAATGAGCAAACATGACACTCAGTAGATCTTGGTTCCTGAATATCATTCTACGTGGAAAGGAAGCAGAGCTCCTTGGAGAAATAGCTAATTGCAGGGCTAGAGTGGGAACAGTACAAGATGAAACGAAACATCCTGTACCAAAAAGTAAGAAAGGCCCCAAAGAATGATGAGGACACAAGTAAAGGACACAGACATCCTGGGGCTCCCATTGGTCAAATCTGGGACAGTGAGAACATCAAAATTAGTAATAACAGTAACAGTATTTGGTTTGTTGACTAAGAATCCATGAATTCATTCTGTTATTAACAAATAAACAAATGAATGGGGGAGAAAGGAAAATGCTTTCTTTCAGTAGAATGTCAACTAATAAATATTGAGTTAGAAAATCAGTCACTCAACGATACGGAGGAGGAACAGGTTTAAGTGTCCCATGGTAAAGCATTCAGTCTCTACAGCACCCACTGACATTAAAGAGCTGTTTTTCAATAAGGATACAATTCTCTGATGCAGATGATATCACCTTGCTCCAGAATCCCAGGGGCCCATATTGTGACTCTTCCACTAGACTTGCCATAAATTCCACACTACATCTTTTCCTGCCACTGATACACTATGGTCTGCTGGGTCATATGATCCAAGTGTCAGGGCTGCTTGCACCTGAAGCCGGCAACTGTTGCAGAGCCCTTTCCTGCTCTGGGCCCTGTTCAGAGGGGGCAGCCTTCCACATCACTTGGTGTATGATGAGCTGGTGCATTACTCCTAGATGTGGAATACTAGTGCTATACTTCCTTATTGGTGTAGAGGCTGTAAGATGCAGCAATTTGTCTTTCACTTCAGAGAGGATAACTCAATACTGCCCTGAACACTGGACCTCTAAAAACTTTGTGACTGGTCTCCGAGTCTTCAGTGTTTTTCTCCCACCCTCTGGCACTCATGTATCTTACAAAGGCCGTCACCATGCTATCTCTTCCTCATCCTGTCCAACAAGTAGGATGTCAACAAACTGGATCAGTGTGGTGTTCTGAGGGATGAGACGGTCCAGTTCTTCATATTATGACTGAGAGTGAAAGTTAGCATAGCCTGAGGCAGAACTCAGCCTGAATATTTTTGTCTGTTTTACATGAAGGTGAACTATTTCTGATCCTGTTTTCCAACTGGAATGGTATAAAATGCTGTTACCAAATCAGAGTACATACCATGTATCTGTATTGATCTGCTCTAGCAGTAAATCCAGCACAGCAGCTAAGAGCAGGGTTGTATAGTTACTGTCCAGGATCTATTCAGTTTCTTGATAGGATTGGGACCATCCCTCTTCCATCCTTCAGGTTTTAAATAGTGGGACTAATTTCCGTTATTCCTCCAGAATACAATATTGTGTCTGATTTACTATCTTAGCAGGAGTGGGAGGCAGTTTCAGTGTTTTACTTGGCTCTCCTCACTATGACAGCTTAGTCCACAGACCCAAGCACCCTTAAAATCCAATCCCAAGAGTGTTCCCTGGTTCTTACCAGTACATCAGCATGTCCCAGCTGGGTTATGTAGGGATTTAATCCTGGGGATTTAATCTATACTTGGCAGCCAGTATAGAAAGTAGGGAAGTTGGAGAAGGTTGGGGAAAGGACTACTGCCTTGCGGCAACAAGATTTTTTATCTTCCCGCACAGCAGACATGCTCGTTAGACCCGAGGGCCCAGAGGGAGCTGCAGGGGCATCCATCTAGATCCCATCCCATGTTCAGAATCCCAGGTTTCTGTACCTATACATTAATAGACCTGCCTGGTCTAAATACTCAGTGCTCCAATGTCTCTGGAGCTCTGTGACTCTTAATTAGCCTCAGAACTGTGGTTCAATGGAATCTGCCCTACAGGTGATAAAGCTCTCTTTATAAGTTACCATAGAGCCTCTCATACTTAGCTATTAACTGCTTAATAGTCCCATTTCTCATTTTCCACCTGTTGTGTTTAAGTATGTTTGCAACAACCAGCTAACTCTCCTCTCATTGCAGGCATTATTTTCAAATGCCTCAATCACATTTACCACCATTATTTCCCTCTACTGGGACATGGTTCTAAGTCAACACTGGTGAAATTATGCAATTAAGCTGCAAAGTTATGCCAGGGATTATGAATGCTCCATCTACCAACCAAGGTGGCATCTTCTCGGTCAGGTAATTGATGGGACTGTCCCAATTTTACCCCAGAAGCAGATGCCAAGATGTGATTAAATGTGTAAGACTTTTTATTAGGGAAAACAACTGTGAGAGAAGCTAGGGAAGGAGCTGGGAAAGAACTGGCGGACTATCATACTAGGATGCAAGTTTGACCCCAAATGTCAGAGAGAGGGAAGGAAGTTTGGGTGGAAGTGTACCAGATTGCCATGTAGCCTAAGAAAGGGTTGGCAAAGCAATGGGGGATATCCTTGAGCCTAAGTTGGCTATTAGAAGAGTCTTGTGTCTCCTACAGTCTCTATGATACTCAGTTGCTGAATGTGACAAAAGCAAGGTCTTAGCACACAGAGATGGATTTCACAGCATAGCAAGCAGCTGGGGCCCTTGGTGAATTAAAGCTCCCTGTAGTTGGAGGTCTGTGAGGTACATTCTTACAGCAGCAGCATCCTAGCAAGAGGCAGAGCTGGGATTCAAACCAGGTAATTTGGTTTGAGTCTATACTCTTAACCACTGAACCAGAAGGCATGTCTTGAAATTACAGAGGTCTGAAATAAATCTATCATGCAAAAGATTTATAAGGAGTCTGGGCCAGACTAGTAGGATCTCTAGGATCCTCTAAGGAGTTTGTATCTCTACAGACAATAAAGTGGGGGATACAGGGCGAGGCCACATCACAGTTAACATATAGGTCTATGTCCCATATGCATTAGATACATGCATGAATAATTTACAGACCGATGTATAGCTTTGAGTTCTGTGTGGTATAAAAGGATTAGCAGATTTAAAGACAGATGCAACAAAAAGTGATTCCTGTACTGCATATAAGATGTGTCATGCTGCATATATGGTAAAATGGTCCAAAAAGTGCTGACAAAGCATTCATACCTTCTAGGATATAAAAGTCTGAAAAAAAGGACCAAGACAAATCTATTTTCTGTAACTCTTTATAAAATCCTTACTGTGGTACAAGGCAATCAAAAATTCATTGAATTTTTACTTTTAAAAAGTTTATTAATTTATGTTTTTGAGATAGGAGGTCTTGCCATGTTTCCCAGGCTGGTCTTGAGCTCTTAGGCTCAAGAGATTCTCCTGCCTCAGCCTCTCAAAGTGCTGAGACTACAGGCATGAGGCACTGTGTCTGGCCACTATTTATTACCTGTATTAAAAATTCTATCATTTTTCACACAGAGGCACTATTGCCACTTAGGCTGTGTGTCAAATCTGCATTTACAGGCTAAATAAAGAACTTAACTACTATTTATAATATTAATTATGTGACAATCTATGTTAGCTGCCAACAATCAACTTACAAATAAATTCTACAGAATATAACCTTTATTATCAAAAGGAAGTTACATGTTTATTAAACAGGTATTATTAACACTATTTTATAGTCATAAGAATCCAGGCATAAAGTTTCCTTGACCCACATGAGACAAAAGATGAATCCAGAACTAGAGATAATATCAGAGTCCTATACACCTATATTCACTAATGGTATAACTCTACAAGTGTGGCATAGTCCTACAATAGAATATTAAAACCTAGAGATTAAAAAAAAACACACAAAAAAATTGGTCCAACTTTCTTGAAGGCAGAAATTATTATTATCTGCTTATTACAGAAAGTGGAAAATTAGTTGATCAAGGGCAAATCTAAGAACTTAGGAAAAGTTCAAATTCAAAGCCTTCAGAAACTCATCAAACTCACCAGTATTACTTATCATACTTCAAGAAGACATATACAAAACAGAATGGAGTTTCTGATTTCAGACTGTTTCACTTCCTTACTTGAAGCCAGGAAGGCTAAAAACATAAACTCAGCAGAAGCAATTAAAAATTAAGTGAGGGACCAGGATGTGTAAATGATGGTTTAGGAAACTATATTTATAGCCTGGTTATCATTACAGTTTTGTTTATTTTTTAAACTAGATTCCAAATATACACATTATACTCTGAGAGCTTTTTAAAGACACAAACTAGCTTTTAGAATTAGACTTTGGGATGCAATTCCAAATGATTTTTTAATGTTCTATAGTTCTGAATGAGAATTAATGGTTCTGAATAGAGATTTAAAAATAAACATAAAAATTTGGATCAGTGGGAGAATTTTACTTGTAACTACTTGCTACATATCAGGGGTCTCTATGTAAACTTCTGAGACTCAAACACTTTACCTACAGGCAACATATATCCCATCTTATTTTACAAAGCATTGTGATGTCTTTCTATGTGAACATGTACAATAATGATAAAGGATATCTGTTCTACGAAAAGTGTATTTAAAAAGAAATACAAGTATGCAGGTCAGGATGAATGAACTTCAAATCTGAACTCCAAATTTGGCTCTTGAGCTTCCTAACAAAATTCTATCAAAAAGTGGCTTCCAAAACTATTCTTAGAATCACATACTATTATACTTACATGGGACTTTATGTAAGGAACACTGAAGCTGGGTGTGGTGGCTCATGCCTGTAATTCAAGCACTTTGGGAGGCCGAAGCAGGACTGTTTGAGGCCTCCTGGCCCCCATCTCTAATAAAATAAAAAAATAAAAAAATTAAAGGGCACTATATGACACAGACGACTATACCCTTGATAGCATCATATAGCAAACACAGCTAAAAGTTTCTGGATGGTTACTTTAAGCAGTTAGCTTAGGTGAAGGCAGAAGGTCCAAATTAAAATGCTACTTGTTGAAAATAATCGTGCTAGGGGCTGCTTTTGCAATACAAAGTTTTTACACTGAAGGCTTCTTAAACATGAATTAGAGTCTTCCCAATGGGATAGCAATTCTAATTTAATGGCTAGGAGAACCCAGTACAGAAATAAGAAGTCACCTGACATTGCTAAAAATCATTTAGGGACAGGCCTAATATTTGATCCTCTAGATTCAGCCAGAAAGTTTTGGGTCTTTTTTTTTTTTTTTTTTTTTTGAGATGGAGTTTCGCTCTTGTTACCCAGGCTGGAGTGCAATGGCGAGATCTCGGCTCACCGCAACCTCCGCCTCCTGGGTTCAGGCAATTCTCCTGCCTCAGCCTCCTGAGTAGCTGGGATTACAGGCACGCGCCACCATGCCCAGCTAATTTTTTTGTATTTTTAGTAGAGACGGGGTTTCACCGTGTTGACCAGGATGGTCTCGATCTCTTGACCTCGTGATCCACCCGCCTCGGCCTCCCAAAGTGCTGGGATTACAGGCTTGAGCCACCGCGCCCGGCTAAGTTTTGGGTCTTTTACAATTTTAGCAGGACTACAATCCAAGGCTTCAGATTTACTGGAGATTTTACTCCTCCAAAAGGAAGGCTCTAACTATAGGGAATTAGTTTGCAGCATGTGGCATTCTGAAGATTAAGCATTGTAAATATGAAGTTTTGGAGTTAAAAAAGTAAACACCCAATTTTCAGTATTATGTCAACAAAATTCTATAAACTACCCAAAACAGCAATATATAATCACCTATACTGACTGTGCTCAAAAACACAATGAATTGATTTTAAAATGTATGGAAATGGCCATGGGCAGCAAGGAATAATCAACAAGGGAAGCACCTACTATCTAATCCAGGCGTCCCCAAACTTTTTACACAGGGGGCCAATTCACTGTCCCTCAGACCGCTGGAGGGCCGTCACATACTGTGCTCCTCTCACTGACCACCAATGAAAGAGGTGCCCCTTCCTGAAGTGCGGCGGGGGCCGGATAAATGGCCTCAGGGGGCCGCATGCGGCCCACCGGCCGGCCCGTAGTTTGGGGACGCCTGATCTAACTTTTCTCCTGCAATCTGCGTTTGGAATCACAGGCTGCAAGGTATCTAATGAGGGCATCTAGTCTGCATATACACTCTTATCCCATTTTCAAAGATCTCTATTTAGATCTCTAGCTTGCTCTTATCTTAAATCATAGCACCTACAGTCTAGGACAAATTCCTTTTATCAATGAAAATAATGAACCACTACTTTCCTTTAAATACTTTTAAAAACTTGGAAATCATTAACTAGTCTTCTCTCATTAATAACTATAATTATTTTAGCCTTTCCCCAAACATCTTATTAATCTTTAGATCTCTTCTTACTCTAGGGTATTTCATCAGTTTCAAAACATACTTCGTTTGGTACTTTATTATGAGCTTCACAAATAACCAGGATTTACATTATTTCATAATTCCTTCAAACAGTCTGTTTTATTTGTAAGCAGCAATGCTATATTGTGAAGTCAATTATTTAAAACAATGTTCTAGGTATTGGGGTAACTGACCTCAGATAGCTTACATTCTAGTGGGAAAAACAGTGAACCAGTAAACAAGATATCAGTTTGAGGTAAGAGTTGTGGGGGAAAAAAAAAAAAGTTATAGGGATGGAGATGTCTTTTGTAATAGGTAGCACTTCATCTGAAACCTCTAGGAAGGCAGTAGCCCTGCAAAGATATGAAAAGAATGTTTTAAGCAATTTTTGGCTAATGAAGGTTTAACAAATTATTCTGCTGTATATTTATATGCATTCCTTCCAAATTACATAACCTTGTATTGTTCCCTACTGAATCTTGTTTTTATTTTGAAGACTAATTCTATCTTTTATAAGCTTTTCGTTATCTCCTTTAATTGGTATATTCCATAAGTTTAAGATGCATGCCTTCTATTTAAACAAGCATTTCTTAATATTTAGTTTAGGAGGTGTTTCTGCCAAATAACACTTAATAATAGTTGAAAAAATAATAACTGAAAGAACTTAAAGGATAGGCCTAAATGAGTTTTCTAGAAAATCTGGTCAAACTTTGCAGGGAAAACAGGCTGAAACAGGCAGCGTATGATCCATTCAGAAGATGAGGCTAATGGGACCATGAACCACTGAGGGGATGGTCTAATAGCAGTGAAAGAGCCTAATAGAGAACTGAGAGGTTTCTAATGTCATTCAAGTGGGATGAAGAAGCCAATCAACTGGCAAGTTACAGAAAACCTTCCCCAGCACATTAGCTCTCTGAGACATGCTGCCACCACCTGGGCAATAGGCAATTTTGAAGTTTGGGGGGATTTTAGTTATTATCTGTTAACAATTATAGAATCAAAAAACATACTTTCATTTTATAAAATCAGCATTTTTGTCAAGAAAAATAAAAGACAAAAAATGCTGATTTCATAAAATGGAAGTATGCTTTTTGATTCTACAGTTGTGTTGTTTTTTGATTTAAAAAGAGCAGAGATTTTGGCCAGATGTATTTTTTAAAATACTGTTTTATTTTTAAAGTCTCTTGTTCCCTACCTGTAAAATGAGTATAATACAATCCTGTGGGGTTGTTTAGTCTCAGGATTAGTAATAATAAGTATGAAGCACCTAGCCCAGTACCTGGTACATAATATTATTCATTAATAGCCTTTTTTTTTCGAGATGGAGTTTAGCTCTTGTTGCCCAGGCTGGAGTGCAATGACATGATCTCTATTCACTGCAACCTCTGTGTCCCAAGTTCAAGCAATTCTCCTGCCTCAACCAGCCAAGTAGCTGGGATTACAGGCATGCACCATCACACTCGGCTAATTTTGTATTTTTAGTGGAGAAGGGTTTCACCATGTTGGTCAGGCTGGTCTCGAACTCCTGAACTCAGATCATCCACCCACCTCCTCTTCCCAAAGTGCTGGGATTACAGGCATAAGCCACTGCACCTGGTCACAATAAGTAGCTTTGAAAAAATTCTTCTTCTTCAGTATAAACTTTCAAATATTGCTAAAATCTGATTACTCTAAAAAAAAAATTACTGGCTAGGCACAGTGGCTCATGCCTGCAATCCCAGAAATTTGGGAGGTGAGATGGGCAAATCACCTGAGGTCAGGAGTTAGAGACCTGACTGCCCAACATGGTGAAACCTAGTCTCCACAAAAAATACAAAAATAAGCCAGGCATGGTGGTTTGCGCCTGTAGTCTCAACTATTCAGGAGTCTGAGACAGAAGAACTGCTTGAACCTGGAAGGTGGAGGTTAAAGGGAGCCAAGATTACACCACTGCACTCTAGCCTAGGCAAGAGAACAAGACTCTGCCTCAAATAAATAAATAAATATCACATAAATGTGCCTATTAAGAAATGTATTTGCACTATGCTTCAATGGAAGAAAACAACCTCACAAAATAAAATTTAGGGAAAAAACCAATTCCATCAATGTAAGATGCAGGTGAGAGCACTCTCAAAGTCTTTTAGTCAATACTAAATTGTTGCTAAACTATATTATCTTAAAATAATATTATCTGAATCTTATTCTGGTTTCACTACTTACAACTTTGATATGGGTTAGAATGAGATGTAATTTTGTACCAACTAAGGGAAAAAAACTTTTAAAGCAAAAAAATGGCATATGACTGCCACAGGGCTTCCATTCTCAAAAGAAAAAAGAATTTTATAAGGCTCTACTTATAAAATATAATTGCAATAGAGTACACTAGGGCTGAAGAGGCTGGTGGTGTGATATATTACACAGGAATTATCTTATGCAAAGGTAGGCCCTACTTAATTAATAGCATAAGGTTTAGTTAATTTGGTTTAACTTACATGAATAACATTTTATATTTTAGAAGTAATGCAGACCTTATTTCCTTGTTATTCTAAATTGGTATTCTGACAGACATTTGAGAGAGAATGAAAACTTGATTAAGAATCTTTTCAAAGAAATAAGATCTCAGCCTGGAACAGTAGTAGCTCACACCTGTAATGCCAGCACCCTGAAAGGAGCCTTTGCAGGAGGATCACTTCAGGAGAGGAGTTTGAGACCAGCCTGGGTAAAACAGTGAAACCCTGTCTCTACAGAAAAATTTTAAAAATTAGTTGGGCATAGTGGCATGCATCTGTAGTCCCAGCTACTTAGAGGCTGAGGTGGGAGGATCCCTTGAACCCAGGCAGTCAAGGCTGTAGTGAGCTGTGATGGAGCCACTGCACATAGCCAGGGTGACTTAGTGAGACCCTGTCTCAAACAAACAAACAAACAAACAAACAAAAATTACTGAAACTCATTCTCTCTAGCTGGGCTTAACTTAGAACTGAATATATTAAGCAAAAAATTAACACTGGTCATAGTTTTTAAAAACAGTGAGGATGCTAAGCTGGGCACAGTGGTTTGTGGCTTATAGTCCCAGCTACTCAGATAGTGAGGAGGAAGGATCCCTGGAGCCCAGGAGTTTGAAGAGGCAGTGGGCTATGACAGTGCCACTGCATTCCAACTGGGCCAGAACAAGACCATGTTTAAAAAAAAACAGAGACCGTAGGAAAACTTGCAATGATGTTGATATCAAATATCTTACTATGCTACTTATTTAAGTCAGATAAATGACCAAATCCAGTCCAATTTACAGATTTTAAAGCTGAAAGGGCATTGGAGATGGCTTAGTATGCTTTCTACACACATAAGTGGAAACACGCTCAGAGTGATTTATCAGAGTATATATATCATTACTAAACCAAGACTTAGTTCACGAGCTCAGACTCCTCACTATGGAAAGCAGTTCACAGTATTCAAACCAATCCTGACATCACCTTTAGGTAAGGCAATGCAGACTGCAGTAAGGAACTGTACTGTGACAACCCCTATGAGGCTCCTGGTCTTGCACACTGCCCTGTAACTTGAAGCTAGATAAGCAAACTTAGATTGTAAAGGCATGGTCTAGGCCAGCAGTCCCCAACCTTTTTGGCATCAGGTATTGGTTTCGTGGAAGACATTTTTTCCATGGACAGGGTACCGTGATGCTTTAGGGATGAGACTGTTCCACCTCAGATCATCAGGCATTAGACTCTCAGAAGCAGCACACAATCTAGATCCCAAGCACTTGCAGTTCACAATAGGGTTCGCACCATGAGAATCAAATGATGCTGCTGATCTGACAGTAGGCAGAACTTAGGCAGAAATGCTCACTCACCCATCGCTCACCTCCTGCTGTGTGGCCCAGTTCCTAACAGGCTACAAACCAGGTACCAGTCTTTGGTTGGGGACCCCTGGTCTACATTACAGCTAAAGAGCTACAGAGGCTTTCTCCTTAGGTGCCCTTTCTTCCTGCCCAAGACTTCTGTGCTTTTAACCAGGGATGCAGCACTGCCAGTATCCAGAGGCACTAACTGGGAAAATCATCTGCCATGATTAAAATAAAACACGTGTTGGCCTCTGGAACGATGAATGTTAAAATAATACATTCTAATCACATCTTGAATTCACGACTTGGGGAAGTTTCAGAAAAATCATTTACCTCTAATAAGTATTTAGTGCACACAATCCAGTGACTGAGTCTGCTTTTTTCTGGCTATTACAAGTACAGGCTAGGCGTAAGCAGCCTAGGCTTTGAAACTATCACCTAGGTTTTCAAACAAAAATGAGTAAGAAAACAACTGCTGGTAATACAACACTATAAACATTAACATATGCCCAACGAACAGTATCAGAGATCGTTAGATTATCTGCCAAAAGCCTGTTTCCTAGTAAATAATACTTACTGTTTTACCTAAACTAGTTAAACATGTCGTATCTTGCTCCTCAAAGAGAACATTCTACAGTCTTTGGAGAATTAAACAGTGAAAAGGTCTTGCAACATTTGTCAGAGGTAGTCAAACAGTACAAGCAATCACAAAATTTGGTCACCAAGCAAACCAGAGCTAATTTTTAAGTTCCTGTAGATTAGAAGACAGTATTAACTCACTCTTTCTCTTTCTGCATGTTGACTTTTGCATCCCTTTATTTGTGTAATGAAAGAACAAGCACCTCTATGGGAACTCAATGCCCTGACAGTTTAATTACGTGTCAAGTTTACTCTGGGCAGGTATTGATCATTCTTTAGTGAAATGAGTTAAGTACTTATTAAAAACAAACAACAAAACCCCCCTTTTCACACAGCATGGTGGCATTTCCCTTGGTAACAAGGTTGAGTGGATCCACCAAGGCCCAGCAGCCTGCCCCCTTTACCTAAGAACTCTAACTATTGTCCACCCAGAAGAGAGAGGCGTGAGGCGGGATGTGAACCAGCATGAACTCATCGGAATCCTCAAGAGTCGCTGTGTGACCCTCACCTTGACTTCGGGCGGTTTGTGGGGACTCAACTGCTTTCTTGCCGCCGCTTGAGTTTCCCGCAGCCAAACACCTCACCCACCCGGGACCCTGCAACTGTCCGGCTAGAGCAGGGGATGGGGGTTGTCTGTCGCTCGACCTCGGGGTCAAAGGCTAAAGTCCATAGCCGCTTCGGAACCGCTCGAGTCCTGAAGCCGCTCCACGCCTCCTTGCTCACCACCTGGTCCCCGCAGGACACGGCAGTCTCGGGCTCCAGCCCGGAAGGGAACGCGGGTGCCGTCACCCGCCCTGCGCGGCCTCACCTGCAGCTCCCCGGAAATCTCAGCGCCGCCCTGTCCCCGCCCTGCACCCTCCCGCGTCCTCCAAGTCGAGGTCCCAAGACCGACACAGCAATGGCGCAGCCGGAAGCTGACCCCTGGACTTCCTCCCGCTCGGCTGGCGTTTCGGGACGCCTGTGGGAGGGACGCAAAGGCCGCGACTTCCGCCTTCCTGTTTCCGGTCTGGTGGTGAGTGGGGAGTGGGATCCGAGCCCCTGGGGCGATGTAGAGGGGGCAGGTGGCCGCTGCTGCAGTGCTTTTCTACTGGTACCCAGCAGCAACGGCGGCAGCGCAGAGTGTGGCGGGGCCAACCCAGGATCCCCCGGCTCTGCGCGACGAGGGGCTCGAGCTTGCTAAGGCCGAGGGGCAGCAGTGAACGTGGCCCCCGTGCGTCTGCGGCCCCGAAAGGGTAAGGAGGGAAGAGTGAGCAAGGGAGAAACGTTAATAAAGAAGGGAAAGACAAAGGAGGAAGTGCGGATGGTCGTCAAGTGCCACCAGCTGCAGCTGCAGGGCCCACGCGGATCTGGTTGGGAGATCGAGCTGGGTCGATCTGTTTTGGGAGGAAGAGTAGGATTTATTCCTGAAAGTGGGAGGCGCGGGCGTTTGGGTCCGAAGTTGAGGTGCAGGGAGATGTGTGGCCTGTGGACCACGGCTATTTTACTGCAAAGTTCTTTTGCTTATCTCTGAAACTTACATTGGTTATTCGCTACTGGTCTGGAGAAGGTGAAGGCAGGTCGATCTCAGTAGTACCTAATTCTGACTGTATGGGTGAGGTCGTATGAAGTCTGGGAGCTAAGATATTTAACGTATTAGGCACTTTTGTATGTGTTAAGTTGAAAATCGTGGAAAGATACAATAAAACCAGTTTATCTGGGGTAATAGGATTGTGGGTGGATTACTACAATTTGTTTTGGTTATCTCTTCTCATTTTCTAACAAAAGGACAGGCCGGGCGCGGTGGCTCAAGCCTGTAATCCCAGCACTTTGGGAGGCCGAGGCGGGTGGATCACGAGGTCGAGAGTTCGAGACCATCCTGGTCGACATGGTGAAACCCTGTCTTTACTAAAAATACAAAAAATTAGTTGGGCATGGTGGCGCGTGCCTGTAATCCCAGCTACTCAGGAGGCTGAGGCAGGAGAATTGCCTGAACCCAGGAGGCGGAGGTTGCGGTGAGCCGAGATCGCGCCATTGCACTCCAGCCTGGGTAACAAGAGCGAAACTCCGTCTCAAAAAAAAAAAAAAGACATAAATTGTATAATAGACCAAAAAAAACCTTTAAAGAGTAAGGTAAGGTGTTTGATTTTTTAGTGGTGTACCTAATCCAGTAAAAGAATGAATGGCAACATTTTTAGTATAAAAAGTTCAAACTCTAGGAATGGGTGCGGTATCATTGAGCCAACTTGTCTCCTATATGTCAGTGAACTAAAAAAATTTTATTATTGAAATAAGTAACTTAGTAAAATACTTGATTTCCAGTAATTAGAATTTTCTTACAGGGCATTTGCAATTGTGGTAAATTCTAATGAGGAAGAAACAGATACGAAGTTACTATAACGTACAGGCAATTTTACATGTCATATGGGTTGCTTATATACAATACAGAAATTTTCCATTTAAAATTTTATTAACAATTATCCTGAAAGTTGACTTAAATTTTGTTTTCTTTTTTCTATTCTCTCCAACTCACCAATTGTACAGAATTTAAACCATCTTTCAGATGTGTACAGAACTCAAGAAGACAGACAATCAAGGGTCATCTGAATCGTGATTGGGTCACTAATAATACCAGGACAAAGTTAGAGATCACTACCCAAGCATAAGGTAGATGATTCTTTAAAAATTCCAGTTGAAATTGTAAGAGGATATATATACACACATTCCCTACCCAGGTATTCTAATTCTGCACTTTGAAAAGAAGTTAACACAAACATGAAAGGTAGAAAAGCCATGGGGCAAAATAGAAAATGTCACTCAAGTCACATAATCCTTATTTGCCAGATGCCCTTTCTTACACTGAAAAAGGAACAAAACACATGGCATCTGTTAAGGCTACTTTTCTCATTTATTAAATTAGGCTTATTTCAACAGGGGTCCTCAAAGCCGAAAGGGCATAAAATAGTTCAGTACTTTTTGCTTATTTGGCATATTAATGTGATGTCATGATTCCCTTACTCTCTCTTTCCTATTTCTGGAAATAGCCATCTCTCCTCCTCTGTGAGCATTTCACATGCTTTGTGGCTTGTCCTTTTCAAACACCAAATTTGCTGATTTGTATTTTTGTTAATTAGTAATACTAAGGATATGTCAAAAAATGCCAAACTGTATTAAGCTGTTTCCTGGAATGACCATAGCAAACTCAAGATTCTTTTAAAAGTCTCCGTTAAAGTTTGTCTTGAATATGGGAGGCATGTGAGAATGCATAGTCCTTATGATAAAGTCAAATGGCTCTTTTTAATCTTCTGTAACTTTACACCTTTGAAGTGTCACTATTCTGGGCTGTCTAGATGAATTACTTTTTCCTAACTCGGGATACTAGTCTTTATTACATTAGTACTAATTAGTACTTTTTAAAAAATCAAACTGAGTGATAATGGAATTCTGAGTTAACTGGTTGTATGATGAAACTTTTTCAAAATTTGATTAACAGCAGTCTTTATTTTCCCTCCTCCGTGTTCTCCACCCACTTCCCCCAGCCCCAGTTTTCATAAGACTGCTATGAAGATGTTTGATATAAAGGCCTGGGCTGAGTATGTTGTGGAATGGGCTGCAAAGGACCCATACGGCTTCCTTACCACTGTTATTTTGGCCCTTACTCCACTGTTCCTAGCAAGTGCTGTACTGTCTTGGAAATTGGCCAAAATGATTGAGGCCAGGGAGAAGGAGCAAAAGAAGAAACAAAAACGCCAAGAAAACATTGCAAAAGCTAAACGACTAAAAAAGGATTGAAGGACTGAACAGTTTCTGCAACCAGGGAAAATCATTTGGAAAATTATGCAGCTTTGGAAGAAACCACTGAAGTTCTTCTTTGGATTTATTGACAGTATTATTTACTGTCAAGAATATGAATAAATGAAATTTGACCAAATCCAAGAATCATGTTCTGACCTCAATACTGTAGTGACATTTAGGCTTGGGTATAGAAGTTTATAGGTTTCTATTGACAGTTATTGTAAATTAGCATTTATTATGGTACAAATTCCTTATAACCGACTTAGTAATTTGCTGCTTAGCAGTTTATGTACTGAAATGAAGACATTCTTTAGGGAAAAATGAGTTTAGATTATGAACTCAATTCAGATGAACTCTATTTAAAATGAGGTCCTGTTTTGGACAAAGGAAATTAAAAATGTAAAAGTCAGAACTGTCTTGTCTGAGGTGAAAAGTGTGCTTTGGCTTAAAAGAGATACAGTATATTAATTACGTATTTTATTATTTCTTAGAGTCATTTCTGGCTTTCTCAAAACAAAATAATATTAATCAATGAGTACTTCTATTTGCTGCATTTTTCTTATTTTAACCTTTGAGACAGCTGATAATTATCAAGACATTTTGCATTTTTTAAAATGTAATTTTATAAAGAATTATATTTACTATGTAGAATACCACCTACTGGATAGAACAATTTTTGTACTTAAAACACTGCCATTTTCATAGAGATGGCTTTTTGAGAGGAGTAACACTATGGATAGAGCTTGCAGTAAAAATGACAAACACTGTAGTAACTTGGAACCAGGTTATTCTTATGCTAAGCAGAACTGTAAAATAGTGTCTTATCAGGTAATTCACTGATTACATAGACACCACTTTTGTTTTTTATTTCATTCTTTAACTCGTGGTAGTGATATTTAAAACTTTTTGATCAAACAGGTTCAAAGTGAAACTTTAAATTTCTGTTAAAGAACTCCTCAAGAGTAACAGTGAAGTCATACTTCATAAGTGGTAAAGAAACGTATAAAGTTTGTAAACATTTTGTTGGGTATAGTAGTAATTGGGTGAAAAGGATGAATTATATCAAAATGAAAATGTGCTGTAATTGGAAGTAAGGAGCTAAAGGATGTTTCTTTCAGTTAAGTAGTATAACTGGAACATTTTACTATTAAACATGGCTTTTATAAATGCATGGCCCATTTTTATTCACTGTTAGTATTTAATTCACTGTCAGCTTATTAATGTTTTCTGTACCCAATAATGAATTTTAAATTATAAAAAATTGTCCCACAGCAACCGTTTAAAAATGAAACTAGATATTAAAATAAATTTGATAATTTTTTATAAAGAGGTCCTGGATTTTGTTTTGTTTTTTTTTTTTGGAGGGATTAACATCTTAAGGGACTTACATTATGTTATGCAGGTTAGAATTTCAGTTACAACTAAGCATACTTGTAAAAACTTTAGGGCTATATTCCTCAGAACCTAGGGACCACTGAGAATGTTTATGGACCAGTTTGAATAACAATGCTATTCTTTTAGATTATCAGTCTCTGATAAATCTGAAATTTGTTTGGTTTTCTATAATCAAGCTGTTCATGGAAATAATTTATGTACGTTTTACTTATGGTCACATTTTAGAGTAAAAGTATCGACGCAAAGGATACAGTCCTAATTCTCATATATCTACTAAAGTTATGGTTTCATCAGTTCTCTTATAACAAAGATATTTAAAGGTGTTTTTCTGTAATTTGTTAGTCTCAACAGATGCCAATTTTGTATTTGTCGTATACTGTTTTTGTTTTTTTTCACTTTTCCCAATCATTTAGACAGCCTTTCTATATATATGAAATCAAGATTTTACTCGTGTGTGTGTGTGTGTGTAAGGGGTCAGAGAATATAGGGAATATTATGAGGTTTGGGATTCTTCAGAAAAGTCATCTCCCACTGCAACAGAGCACTGTTGTTAAAGAATCCCATTTACTATTATCTGTAATACTAGAAATGATATTTTGTATTATTTAATGCCTAGAGATTGTTTACCTATTATGCTGTTTCTGAAGTTCTGAGAACTAAGTACAATCAATTACCTTTCTAAAGCTGGTTTTGGAGGAAAAAGCTGTCCCCAGGCTGCCTGTAACAAATGTTTCATCAAAAATAAGCAAAGTTTATGTGCCGGATCTTGAGCTATAGTATCCATATGATAAATTTCAGCATGTTACTACCTACCAGATGTATAGGGACATTTAAAATTTTACTTCTTTATAATAAGCAAACTAGAAATAAGCACAGGAAGCTGTGGGCTGGAAACCTGATGTTGAAATAGACCTTATATTTTAATATGGTTCTAAATTGGAGGAAATTTGATCCTATTTAGGAATGATTGCTTTTATATTTGCTACTGGTTATAGAATCATGCTGATTTACTTCATATCTGGAATAAATGTTTAAGGACAAATTCACATTTCTCAAACATATTAAAAGAGATTATTACATGGTCAGATACCCAAAGTCTGGGAAACACATGTACAACTGAGACAAATTTCTTTTCTGGATCATCTCTTGGAGTCTTTTAACTTGACTACCATAGATTGTCCTCTATACCTCTCTTTCTCCAAAGAAATGAAATACAATTTGGGAAAGCCTATTCTTAATAAACTCAGGTTACATTTAAATAGCTCAGTTAATGACATAGCATTTAAACAACATAATGGTATTGATTCAAGCTTAATTAAATAAATAACATCCAGAGAACTGTTTGTAAGAATAGGAATGGAAAATGATTATTTCCTCCATTTTTGTTGGTTTTTAACTTCAGGTGACTAAGGCATAGCTAACAAGCTAGGTTTATGTAATTAAACCCAGTAGCTTTTCTGTACTCTCAGTTTGTGTAATGCTAAGCTATTTTTGTAAAAACCAAAAGTATGCTATATGTATGTATAATAGCAGAGGCATAGAATGGAAGGCTTTACTTCTGATAAAGTACTTAAGGTATATAATATTTTTCATGTTAACATGAAGTTTTACCTTTGAAATTAAAGTTTTTTTTGGCACAGGTTTAAAATCTGTCTTGACTAGACATTTTCATAATAAAAAACAATGATATGACATATGGTGGGCAAACATTTTTTTTTTATTGCATTTTAGGTTTTGGGGTACATGTGAAGAACATGCAAGATTGTTGTATAGGTACACACATGGCAGTGTGATTTGCTGCCTTCCTTCTAAGCTATATCTGTCATTTCTCCCCATGCTATCTCTTCCCACCTCCCCACCCCCCTGTCCCTCCCCCATTTCCCCCCAACGGACCCCCATGTGTAGTGCTCCCCTCCCCATGTCCATGTGTTCTTATTGTTCAACACCCACCTATGAATGAGAACATGCGTTGTTTGATTTTCTGTTCTTGTGTCAGTTTGCTGAGAATGACGGTTTCAAGGTTCATCCATGTCCCTACAAAGGCCACGAACTCACCGTTTTTGATGGCTGCGTAATATTCCATGGTGTATATGTACCACATTTCCCTGTCCAGTCTATCATCGATGGGCATTTGGGTTGGTTCCAGGTCTTTGCTATTGTAAACAGTGCTGCAGTGAACATTCGTGTGCATGTGTCCTTATTGAATGATTTATAATCCTTTGGATATATACCCAGTAATGGGATCGCTGGGTCAAATGGGATTTCTATTTTTAGGTCATTGAAGAATCGCCACAGTCTTCCACAATGGTTGAACTAATTTACACTCCCACCAACAGTGTAAAAGTGTTCCTATTTCTCCACACCCTCTCCAGCATCTGTTGTCTCCAGATTTTTTAATGATCACCATTCTAACTGGTGTGAGATGGTATCTCAATGTGGTTTTGATTTGCATTTCTCTGATGACCAGTGATGATGAGCATTTTTTCATATGTTTGTTGGCCTCCTGTATGTCTTCTTTTGTAAAGTGTCTGTTCATATCCTTCGCTCACTTTTGAATGGGCTTGTTTGTTATATTTACTATTTTTAATTCTCCTTTGTGTCTGGCCTAAAAGCCAAGTTTTTAAAGAAAAGTTCTTTAGAAAGACAAATATTAATTAGGCCAAGATTATAATTTACTTTTTATGTACAATATTTAACTTTGTGCCAATACCACCTAACTAAACCAGTCATCCTTAACATGTTAGCCTGGAGGAAAGGGATATGGACAGGTTATTACAAATTCATTTCCACCCCAGAAATCGCCTTGAAAGTACAAGCACTACTAATAATGGTGGCTCTGTATCATCATCATTAACATAGGCATTTTTTATAAAGGACTCTTGGCCAAGATTTTCTCATGCTGCTTATGCAAAACAGGTTATTTTAATATGAAAACCATAAAAATTGGTAGTTAATTTCTGCCATATCTAAGATATTTATAGACAGACTATATGGCAAACATTTGCAAAAGGTGTATATGGAATGCAATTAATGAGCTAACAGGAATTTGGCAGTAGAAACACTAGTGTGTTAAAACATTTACAATTTTCTCTGCAATCCAGTCCAGGAGTTAAGTATATGTTAATCTCAATTCACAGCCTCACCTATACCACAAATTATATAGTATCTTTTTTTTCCCCTTGAGATAGAGTTTCCCTTCTGTAGCCCAGACTGGAGTGTGATGGCATGGTCTTGGCTCACTGTAACCTCTACCTCCAGGGTTCAAGCGATTCTCTGGCCTGAGTCTCCCAAGTAGCTGGATTACAGGTGCCCGCCACCACGCCCAGCTAATTTTTATATTTTTAGTAGAGATGGAGTTTCACCATGCTGGCCAGCCTGCTCTCGAACTCCTGATCTCAAGTGATCTGCCTGCTTCGGCCTCCAAAGTGTTGGGATTACAGGCATGAGCTACCATGCCTGGCCTTTTTTTCCCCCTTTTTTTAGAGACAGTCATGCTATGTCACCAGGCTGGAGTACAGTGGAAGTCCAGTGGCCTCATAATAGTTCACAGCAGCCTTGAACTCTTGGGTTCAAGTGATCCTCCCATTTCAGCCTCCCAAGTAGCTGGGACTGCAGGTACACACCATCATGCCCAGCTAATTAAAAATATTTTTTGCTTCAGGGCATCGTGGCTCATGCCTGTAATCCCAGCACTTTGGGAGGCCAAGGCAGGTGGATCACCTGAGGTCAGAAATTCAAGACCAGCCTGGCCAACATGGTCTTGAACTGGATCATGAAACCCTGCCTCTACTAAAAATACAAAAATTAGCTGGGAGTGGTTGTGCATATCTGTAATCACAGCTACTCCAGAGGGTGAGGCAGGAGAATCACTTGAACCCTGGAGGCAAAGTTTGCAGTAAGCCGAGATGGCACCACTGCATTCTAGCCTGGGCAACAGATGAGACTTTGTCTCAAAAAAAAAAAAAATTTTTTTTTGTGTGGTGATGGCGTCTCGTTATGTTGCCCACGCTGTTCTCAAATGCCTGGCCTCAAGCACTCCTGTCTTTGCCTCCCAAAGCACTGGAATTACAGGTGTGAGCCACCCTGCTGGCTTTATGTATCTCCTTTCATACTACCTAGTGGCTAGTTCCTTTTTTGCCACTGTGGTAAAATGTAATACCACCTTGAAATGGTGTAGTAGAGATAAAATATTTCACCTGGTACTATATGACAACTGCTGGAATGTTGGGCTTTTTGTCATTAAGTGTGGTGATTTTGTCACTTGATTACTTGTTTTAGTATAAATGCTTTATTTCTGTAGTGTTATTTCTTAGGCAGTTAAATTTTTTACCTGCTATTAGGTAAAAAATTTCATCTGTGTTTTTAGGAATTCATTGTTAATGGTTAACCAAGGATTTACTTATATTCAGAGCATAAAAATTTGGGTCATTCATTCAGTAAATATTGAGCATCTATTATATGCTAAACACTGTGAGGGTTTTAGAATAACAACAAAAACTTGGTTGTGCACTCCAGAAAATGTATGACCCTTTTAATGTACTTTTGTAGGTAATGTTTTAACATGTACATTGTCTTCTGTCTTCTAATGGAATAGATTTCTGCTTTTTGAGAGCTTTCCCCAATTGTCTATTTTTTCAAAGTAATTTTCATTCTCACGGAACTCCAGTTATTGTATTATTTCTTTCTCTACTGTTCTTTCAGACTTTGTTATGGATTGTATACTTCTATTGGTCCTAATTCCTCTCCAAATTCCAACTGCAGTCCTACCATAAGCTAGCTTTTGTCCCATCTTCTCATCAAGGTCTTAATGTCCTTTTTTCACTTATCAGCTAAGTTTTCTTTGTCTCCACATGTTTTATCCAAGTTTACATTTTTGGTTAGTCTTTTAGAATCTTACAGGTTACCTCTCCAGAAATAAGAATCTTTTCCTTCTT